AAAACCAAAGCTGGATCAAAATCGAGATCTACGACGAAAGAGGAAGTTTCGAAGAAGCCTTCATCGAGACAGACTTCGCAGACGAGGAAATCATCAGAGAAAGACAAGATCTCGGCGGAGCAAAAGAAAAGATCATCCAGTACAGAGAAAACAATATCAGGCGAAGCAAAGCGCGACAAGGATGAGAGAACTGAAGAGAAAACAAAAAAGAAAATGACAGAAGGGAGGAAAGCTCAAAGATCGTTGAGGATGTCTCGCCGGCTGAGGTAAAAATTCAAAGAAAAATAGTTGAAAAGATTTAAACAATATTTTTGAAACTTCTTTTAAAACTAATATTTATTAAAGTTTTTTTGTTTTTTACAAATTATTTGAAATTCATGGATTACTCGTTAATACGTAAAAGAGAAAATATATGCTTGATCTCACAGATCAAATAAACTTTTCGATTTCTTTTTCAAGAGTTTGATTTAATAAATATATGTATATTTAAAAGACATTTTACTTGTATTGTATTCAGCCGGTTCAAAATAAAATCCCCGCTTCGGCGCAAAAAAGAAGATCTTCATCCGCCAAAGTAAAGCAAGATGCCATGATCACCATGGACACAAATGAGTTGACGAAGGAGGAACAGGCGCAACGTAGAAGTGCCTCCAGTAGAGCAAGACGTTCGGCACAAATGAACAGATCACAAGAAAAAACAGCAAGTATGCCTTTAGAAACATCTTTTAATAATGAAGAGCAAAATAAACCAGTAATGAGCAATTACGTCAAAGAAACTGTGGAAAATGGAATGGAAGAAGACAATGCGCGCCAACAAAATATTGAGAAAAGTAATCAGTCAATGTCGGAGCTTGTGGGATCTCAAACCGAACCTACCGAAATGGCGTAATGTTCAATTCTATAAATTTCTTACAAATAACAAAATCTCGAGTCGCGACAATAATATTTAATTCAATGTTTGCTTCAGCATTTTGCAACAATCGAGACCTAAAACATCTCTAAGACCACCTAGTGCCAGACCCATCAGCGCCAGACCGGCCGCTCCCAGGATGAGAGCAAAAACAGAGATGATAGTCAATGAAGAGATACAGTAAGACAGCGGATTTCATTGAAATTATACATAGAAATTATTTCATTATAAATAATTTCAAAATATGATTTCAGAACACCACTGGGAAATATCAGCGTTATTGTAGAAAGCTCCGATTTGAAAGACGACGATGATGCTGAAGATATGGTGGTAATGGAGACGAAGGGAAGTGGCGGTGATCCCCTAGAAAATGGAGATTATAAAATAGATAATCAGTTAATGCAGGAGCATGGACATCTCGTGGCACAAATCTTGGAGACCCAGAGGGAATTGGTCAACACAGACAATGTCGACGTATTGCCGAAAAAAGTTGACATTGTAAGAAATTACACTGACATTATTTCTGCCGATACGTAATGATTGTGATTATCATTAAATAAATGCATCTGACTGTAGGCATGGGAATCAGGCTCGAAACGTGACCGCGAAACAGCAATTAAAGAAATCGATAAATTACGTGGAACTATACAAACATTAACGCGCACGACAAATCCTCTGGGAAAGCTATTGGATTATGTACAGGTAATATGCATTCTTTACTTAATTGATTTTCTATCTAGTCTATTAAATGAAATTTGATATTAGGAAGATGTAGAAATGATGCAAAAAGAATTGTTGGACTGGAAAAATCAGTATCGTCAATTGAGCGAACAACTGGAAGGGGAACAAAAGTTCGTATAATATCTACATAAGATTTACAATAATTTTAATAATTCTTTTCGAAAATTATGGAAAATTTTACTTTATAGAGAAACACAAGAAATGATAGAACCTATGAAGGAGACATTAAACGAAATTGATAGTAATATGAAGATTCAATTAGATAAAATATGTCAAGTAAAAGCGCAAATTATGAAAAATGACCAAAAGATACGACGATTACTTAGTGGTAATTTATAACATGGTAATTATATTTCTATATAATGGATTGTAAATACTTTTATAAGTTATTGAAATGTATAATTGTTTCATTGTAAATCATATAATTTAGAAAAAAATTTCATGTATAAAATTTTATGTACGAAATTCTTTTATTTCAGTTGTATAATTATAATACTAAATATAGAATATCTATAACACTTCTTGTAAATATTATTTAATATTTTATTTTAAATATTTAAATATAGATTTTAAAATAGATAGTTTTTAAAAATGATTTATAATCGCATTTTTTCTGTTAAAACTTTAAATATAAAATTATAAAGTATAGTAAATAAATGTTTTCACATAATAGAAAAATTATATTTATTCACTTAAAGAAAATAATCAATCACAATAAATGACTTAAACTTACCTTAGATTATTCTATCAAAAATCTTTTTTTAACAATATTTAATCTTATTAAATAATAATCTTATTAAATAATTTCATATTTATTCTTCAAGTCTGTGATTTCTTTCTCAGATATCTTCTCAAATGTTTTACAATATGAGAACATAAGCTTCAAATCTAAACACATTTTAAGCCATATTATTTTTGGATTAATATCATAAAAAAATCAATATTGCCATACCTTGCTTTTCCGAACTGCTGATAAACATAGTAAATGCCCTAAATCTTTTAACATTACTGAGATCTTTTAAATATGAAAATATAGGCTCTCTTCGTTTTGTAAATTCTGTTTTAAGTGTTGCTAAAATGTCACTGAAAATATCAGTTTCCATTGAATCTTGAAATATTTTTGGTAAATTGCCTGATGGTATTTGCTAAAAAAATTTTTCTTTTATATCCATAAGTATAACTCATACTTCTCATATGTGAAAGATTGTTTACCTTTAAATATCTGTATCGATAATCAAGCAAAGTTGATTTTTTCCAATCCATTAGGAATTGTACTGCAGTTGTCGGAATGGGAAGTATTTCTTCATGACTTTTAGTGAAGTTTTCTTCCAGTTTAGATACTAAAATATTTTCTGAATGTATATTTGTTGGATCTATATATTGTTCTTTATCACATGGCGCTTTCAATTTATCTTTAATAGGTTTACTTAAATCAGCTTCTTGCACAAATATCCTCTTTAATGGTTCCTAAGAGAAATTAAAGACTAATTATATTGTTCCATGTATGTATACCATAAAATATATTGCAAATTTACCTTTGAACGCAAATGAGGAAGTTTATTAATAGGTTCCACGATTTTAACATTATCCTTTTCTGGTAACCAATCTGGGATTTGATTCTTTTTCAATTTTGCTACATTTGTAATTGTTGGTTCCCCAGCAATATCTACATTTATATTCTTTGTATCTTTATCGTTTTTAATGACTGCTGGTTTTACAGTAATATTTACGTTCTTGTCAATATTTTTATTTCTATTTTTCTTTACGGTTGTTAGTTTTATATCAGAATCTATATTTATGTTACTCTCTTTATTTTTTTCCTCTTTAGTAATTGTTGATTTTTCAGCGTTTTCATTTATCACACTTTTTTTATTTTTATTGTCTTTAATTTTAATTTCTTCTTTATTTATTTTTACTTTATGAGATATATTAGTTGTATCTGTATCTTTTTCAGACATAAATGACTAAAAAAATAACATAAAATAAATATATAGTAATTAAGTAAGTAAATATTAATTTAATTCAATATTAATAAATTAATAAATTATAAATATTAATAAATTATATACATACATTTCCAGATTGTTTTTTAACTTGATTAAGCAAAGCTTCCGCTTCTTTATTATGAGGTTCTAAATCTATCATCTTTTTTATATCTTCTATTGCCTCTTTATATTGCTTTAATCCTATTCTGGCTGTAGCTCGTCTGTGATAAGCCTTCACATAAGTCTTGTCCAATTGTATTGCAGACGAACAGTCTGCTTCTACTGAATACAAGCTGCAATGTAATAAAAGTTATTTAATTATTGTTATGTAAATTATAGAAATCAATTCGTTTTTAAAGAAATCATATTTTAAAGAATTTACTTGTCTTGTTTTAAATGACACAGCGCACGATTAGCATAAAATGTAGCATCGAAAGGACAAATTTTTATCGCCTCACTGTATGATGCAATTGCTTTGCCCCATTCCTTCTGTTTTACAAAAGCATTGCCTTGCTCTTTGTACTCTAATGCTTTGTTGTGATTTTCCTTCAATTCTTCTTTAGACAAGGACTCTTCTGAAGAATCATCAGATTGTTCTTCTTTATCTAATTCCTCACATGCTTTATTCTATGTCATAATATTTTTAGTTTGTTAGAAATGTTGCATTTTATCAATTAATATCATGCATTTTATTAATTAATATTCTTATATCTCATAATTCCAATAATTTAAACTTACAACATCAAATTTATCCCATGATGCATAGTCATATGATTTTATTCGTTTAGAATCGTTAGATGTTTTGTATTCATTTAGCACACATTTTTTCTTATTTTTACTTCTGATAGGTGGTATAATCGGCTAGAATATATTATATATAATATATAAATTATATATAATATAATATCTCATAATATTAAAAAAATTCAATGAATAATCAGGACGCATTGTAAAATATAAAATCCAAAATTCAAGTTTCTCTTTCAGAAATTTTAAGTCAATAATTATAAACTGACAAGTTTAGCATAATATATATTGACTATAGATTTTACGTAAAGAATGTTATTTGCTTTTATGATTATTAAATTTCTTAATATTATTTATCACTTCTTTATTTGTGAAAATTACCTGCCCGTTGCGTTCACTTAATATCTCTTTCTCCTTCCGTTTCATTTGCTCTTCCCAATTTTTCAAATCCAGAAATTCGCTCAGCAAATCCTCGGAATTATCCCGCACCTGCTTCTGCATTAATATAGAGTTGTCAAGTGCCATAATGAAAAGAGATTTAGTAAATAATTGCTTGAAATATCACGTCTCGCGAGGAAAGATCAGGTTACATAGTATACTTTCTCTTCTCTCGAAAAGTTTTCTGTTCAACTAAAGAGAAATCCAAAAACGCCATCTCAACCTTTTTCGTGGAATCCCGTACACTAGCGCCCCCCAAGTTTCATTTCAGCACTCTGGAATTAAATAGTTATTTCCTTTTTCTGACACTGTCGATAAAATCCCAGGAAGTATCCATGAATATGGCTACGTAGTTCAATATTCATATTTTATGCGCATAAAGGCGCTAGCCTGATACCAGTTAAAATGAAAGAAACATGATCACTCTTAGACTTCCTTCTGTTGCAACGTAATAGAAAATGTTGCACTTTTGCAAGCGCATTAGATACATGTAATTATGTTACAAAAATTTTTTTATTCAGAAGAAAAAAATATTCAGAAGAAATAAAAAAATTACATGTATAATTACGTAAAATGTTTATAAGAATAATATCGTTTTTATATGTATATAACATAAATATATGGAAATTAAAATATATTTTGAAAATACTATTATTTAAATAAATAATTTAATATTGATAAGATTATAATTAAGACTTTAAAAAATATTTTTTATGTTAATTACTATAGAATTCTTTTGTAATCATTAAGATTCCAGACAGCACGCAAGTCTAAAAGATATCTAAAAGACGTCTTATAAGAGACGTCTTTAAGACTTTACCAAAAGAAGTTATAAATACATCTTTTGGACATATCTTAAAGACATCTTGAGAAAGATGTCTTAAAGATGTCCTTTTAAAGACGTTTTTAAGACTATATCAGAAAGATATCTTTCTGATGTCTTTAAGACATCTTTTCTAAGACATAACCTCAATCTGTCATCAATATAATCTTTAAAAGTTCTGAATGACAGTTCTAAACATAGTTATTTACATTACCTGACATTTATCGAGAAACGACTACATATTTTTTTGATTGGAATAAATGACATGATCAATTTTGATATAATGTAACCTAATAAAAATATTGGAAGTCAGTTTATCTAGTATTCCAATATTTTATATTAATATAATATACAAGAATGCAATTAAGATGAAACTATTCGGAAACGTATGAACAAGAGGAAGAATACAAGACAGAAGCTGGAATTATTTGATAAATCGGTATATCAATGATTTAATATCTACACAACATTTCTAATGACAAAATTGATTTCTGATTACAATAGATAAATCAAAGTTGTGTAACTATTATATCAATGTACCAATTTATTAAGTAATTTCAAATTCTGCATCATACTCTTCCTCTTGTCAATACTTTCCGTATAATTAATTTTTATGCCATTATAGAATGTTCAAAAAATTCCAAATAAGTCTGAAAGACGTTTAAAAAATGTCATTTATTAAGAAATAAGACGTCTTTAAAACATTCCAAAGACGTCATAAATCGGGTCATAAGACGTCTTAAAAATGTCCTTTTTTATAATTTAATAAGACATCTTATAATCTTTAAGACGTCATAATGTTCTCTGGGATTGTTTTTCATTAATTAGAAAAATAATATAATAATTTAAAACAGTATTTTTCAAATATCTCTAAGTCGCAAAAATTTTTTCAAATAAAGAGTATAAAATATAAGTATTCACATGAGCCTTAATTTTAATTTTTGTGCTTATATTTGAAATATTTGACTTATAATAATAATTTATCAATAGAAATTGCCAAGAGAATAAATTAAAAAATTAGTTTTCTAATTGTGTTTTATAACTTATAATATAAATTTATTTATATAAATATAAATATAAATACATTCTCCAACAAATACCAATATTGTGAAAATATTGCACACTAAGGATATCATAAATTGACAAAAAGTTCACAATAATTGCTTATATGATTTGCTATAATGTAGTAGTTTCATTATTCATTAAAATACTATTTTACTTCTAAATGATATTTATAAAAAGTTAAACAAATTATCTCAGTTAAACAAATTATCATCAATTTCATATCATCTAATTTAAGGTGTATATAATTTACATTTTGTTTTAAAAACAAATAATAAATAAGATTCCGGTAGCATATTGAAGAAACAAATCAAGACATGTTACTCGGATTATTCGACACTTTCAAAAAATAATAAGCAGAAACTTTTTATTTTTAAAAGCTATGCTAAATTATAATATTTCATGTTGCAATATTTCTACATTATAATTTAGAAATAATTGTGTAATAATTGTATTTTGTTGAGCATATGTACAAATTAATTTAATTTTTTCAAAGATATTATATTACTACATATTTTTAATATAATGTAACCAAAATATTTTTTTTTCAAAATTGAACAATCTCTTTTCAAATTTAATTTTGCAAATATATTGTTAAGATAATTAGCTATATTATTATGTTCTGCCAAAATAATATTTCAAAATTAATTGCGAGAACAGTTATCAATATTTTATGAAAGATATATCTATAATACTTTCATAAATACACCCACATTGCAAATCACAAATTTCATGCAAAATTTTGTCATATTATTTTATAAATATTTTCCTCATGATTGTAAAGACATCTGAAGGATGTGCCTTTATACTTCAGATATTTCTTAAAAATCTCTCAGACTTTATTCGCGCTTGAATCGAAGTTGCAAGGTAAAAAACGCCATGGACTTTTCATTTTGAGACGTGCCCTTCGATACTCCACCCTCGCGAAACGACACGCTGGCTGGCTGGCTGGAGGGTGATTTCGTGTCTTCGCGGGCGCGACCGGGCGCGGCGGCACGCGCGATCTATGCGTGCTGAGCTTGACATTCGGCCCTTTTTAGATCTTGGGTAACTGCCATCGGATTACGATCGCACCCAGAACAGCAAATGTTTAATATCCCGACCGCGCGACTTACAAGCCACGACTTGGTCCCGATTTCACTCGCGGTGACTTCAGTCCACCGCTGACGAGCGCCAAGTGCGCATCTGCGACAAGTGATGTCTCCTCTCTCTATCCCTCGCGGACCACGAGGGGGAGTCCCGTGCGTTTCCTCACGGCCTTCAGCGGGGTCGTAATCGGTCATCGTGATCCTCGTGACTGATCTTCCGCCAGGCGGAAACTCGCTTTGGCGCAACCTATTTCGAATCCTTGGACAAGGGAGGGAGATCTCTTCTTGAGGGAGATTTTCTTTTTGAAGAGTTCTGAATAGTTCCTGTACCTGAAGAGAGATAGATCTACGTTCCAAAGACTTTTCAATTGCCAACAGAAGTTGAAAAGACACGTGGACTCGAGACTGACTCTGACAGTTTACAAATGATGGAAGAAATATATTCTAAATATTATCCCTTTCCCATCAGAGTCGATTTAAAATTGTACACATATATCATTTTGATATCGATCGGACGTTAAGAATTGAAAAAGAAGAGTTTCTTTAGTGGATTTTGTGATTTAAAAGCGACGCAATGATGTATATTTAACGGTTTTAGATTCATTTTCAGATCTGTGTTAAAATTGGTTGCGGAATAGCAAAATCTAAAAAAAATTGCAAATAGTCTCCATACTAATATAACTAATTTAGTATGGAGACTTATTAATTTAGTCTCGACGAGTCAAGTGAATATTCAATTTTATTTCGAAGAGTATTCGTTTCATAGACTGAACTACCGGGACTTGAAATCAGGAGGTTGTTAATAATGCAATAGAACCGCGATATTCGTTGCGTTAACGAGGACTGTAGATTGGCTCCTCAAACTGGCCGTTGTTCCAGCCAAATGGTTTCATAAATCACACGAACTGGAAAGAACTAGTTCGCGTATCGATTGAATTCTCTGATTCAGCACGACGCGGCAACGGTGAGCCTGTACTCGTCGGCGAGTGAAAAATGATTTTGCACGAAGAGGGAGATAACGAGTGTGCTAGTTATGATTGACAAAGTATGTTACACGGTGAGTCAAAACTGCTGTCTCGTAATTTTTTCTCTTTTTTTTTTAGTTTTTAAACGCATTTTGCACGATATCGGAAAAATTGTGCAGATGTCTGTGTCGAAGTACTAAATATTGAAGATTGAGGCTTGCAAACTTAAGATTCGTCATCTGTGACACAAGCTTTACGTCTGGAACGTTTTCTTTGTGCAGAAATTACTTGAATGAAGTATAGTGAGATATCAGAGGATACATCACGCATTTACGCGAAGAGACATCAGAGAGAACGGAAATTTATTAATAATTTATGTGCCGTTTCCACGAAACTATGAATATTTACGAGAATGTTTTTCCCGTGCATTTATTATCCACTCGACAATACTGGGCACGTGACGTCCGATTTTACAATGCGAGTTGACACAAACGATACAATCGATGCAAGTGACATTTTTATAATATATTATTAAAAATGATCGCGATCATCCACAAAAATGTTCGAGAATAATTTTCTTATATTAATTCTAAATATTATTTTTCTTTATTACTATATGTTGCTCGATAATATTATTTCAATAATCAAATTCTTAAACATTTATAACAAATATTTCAAGACAAAAATTTTTTTTATATTTATAATATAATATATAGTTTATGACTGATGAAATATTAGGTTCATTAAAACAAACCTAGACGCGACCTTGGCTGATATTCAAAATTCTATTTTACCTAGCTACTTTATCTCGCTTGCTAAAGTTAATTTACTTTTTAATTATATTAAATATAGCAAAAACGGTGTATAATATGTAAAAAATAAGTTTGTACAAATATTAATTATTTCTTATTTATTAACTTGCAACTTGTGTTAAATTCACAATTTTAATCCTCGTTGAGGATTAAATTATACAACTTTAACTATGATTATTTTGCGTTATAATTACATCAAGTAAAAATGTACTGATAGTTCAAAATGTAGTTTTTTTGTAAAATTTAAGTTTTTATCTTCAATTTAATTAAAAAAATAACTTATTAAATTTCTTGTTTCTAACATACAATAATATTTTTAATCATATTTGTTTCATAAATTTTCTCTATATAGAAAACATTCTCTGTAGAAATAAAACAGTGTTTAATTTTAATAATTAAATATTTTTTCTCAAGATTTTAATTCTTCAGAAATAGTAATGCAACATGTTAAAATTATCTATAAAGTTATAACATTTCTCATTTAATTCTATCGTTCTAAGCATTGTATTAAGCACGAAAAATCTGATCCTTATTGGGAAAACGAATCGTTGGCGCGAAGAGATGCGCTTCTTTTAGAAGAAATACCAAATTCCGCATTTCATCAAAGGCGGCAATTCTGGATATTTTCGGTAAGGTCGCGCGGAAATATAGGACAATAGTCAGACGATCTGTCAGACACGGCGACGACGTTGTTGCACACCTCGTGTTATTAATGGCGTCATCGTGCTTGCTGATGATGACTAAGAATGAAGTTGTCACATCGAGGAAATATCCATTCTGAACATGATAGATTCGAGTCAAAGCGAATCATTTTATCATACATTTCATGCAATAGCTCGCCAATTCACAGATGCTATATGTGCTGATGGAGATGGCGATCTCCGAGAAAGAAAATACACATTTTTGCTTATATCCTAAAATCGTGAAATAACAATATACAAAGTGTTTTTAGTTTGCATTATTTTTTAGTTCAATAAAATTGTAAACCAAGTAAGAAGACATAGATATACTGTCAAGTTATTTTTTATTAATTTTTATTAATTTTTTTATTAATGAGTTAAATATCAATTTAATTATTAACTTTTTATTATTAATTTAAAATTTTTAATTTATAATTTTTTTGCGAGAGACAGCTTCAGAATGTTTAATATGATTTAATATCAAAATTTTCCATATCAAACGCACAAATTATAAAGACGTGAGTTTAACATTAATTAAAAAAGAAACTTAGAAACACACTATCACGTTAAAAAATAAAACAATTATAATTATACATTTATTAATTATAATTTTAAAAGTCGCAAATACCTTTCTACTAAAAATAGAAGTCTTATTGCTTAAGGATCCCTCTCGAAGAATAAAATTTTTTTGGTATATTTTTTAAGTGTCTAAAAAAATAATAATGATAAAAACTATAAGAGCAATTGATGGATTGTTTCTTACATTTGGAATGTTTTAGAAATCAAATAATAACAACTTAAAGTGCCAGGCACTTCTGGCTGCACTTTGAGATGCATCCTCGAAGTGTCGAGTGATAAAGTGCATCCGAAAGCGCGGCCGCAAAGGTCGCACGCCCGGAAATCTCGTGCAAATAGTGTGTTTACCCAGACACTTCGTGGTTACTTCGACGTCCAAAGTTATATTTACCGCATTACTGGCGTGATTCCCGAGAGACATTACAACTAGACATTATTTACGGTGGGCTTCCGACGGAGAAAGAAAAAATGAAAGATACAGCCGCGCCGACATTCTTGGGTTCGCCATTTGGCAATGACGTTTCGCTTGTGACGCATGCAAGCGTTTTAGCGTCATATCCATGCAATCCGAAATTCTGTGCAGCTCATAACTATGACGAAATGTGCATATAAAGCGCCAGGAATGATACGGATCCAAGTAAACGAGATAAATAAATCTTCAGAAAGAAGAAAATAATAAAAATATTAAAAAAAAAGATAATTTTGGATAGAACTAAATCTTGACACAAGTACAAATTGCATATTTTTTTATTAACATTTGATCAAAAATCTTTTTTACGCGCTTATTCGTTACGTTTGCTGATATAGTTGATTACTTAGATATATTTTAAATCACGGAAATCTCATGGGATATAATTTTATCGTATTTTAATTTTTGCCAAACTGAATCTTCTCTCGCACATTACGGCGATTTTGATCATTTGCACAGCATAGGAAATATAGACAAACCAATCTAGGTCTCCCAAGCAGCTCGATTATCACTAAACGTTAACCTTGACTTGAGACTTGATATCAACTTGACCTTATCGCGATAATCGTATGTTGGGATAGATCATTTCGTCTTTAGTCAGCATTTCGCGTTCCGCAAAATATCTTTCTGGTGAATGATGCGATCGCGCGTGCTGCGATCTTGCATCTTGCAGAATCACGTCGCCTCTCTTAAGCGGATCTTTCTCGAATTGGATCACTGCATTCGGAAATATTTGGCGCCGCGAGTGATCGGAAATCATAGACTGTACGATAGAACTAAAGTCGAAAGCGAACGTGGACGTGCGCAATGTTTCGTTCGCGAAGCGAACGTCAGCGTTACGTTTTTACAATGAGATAACTTAATTGTTCACTGGCACAAGCTGCAACAACGCATTTTGTTGCAGAAAATATAAAAGCGCTGAAATAGTTACGGCGAAACAGTAATAAATGTTTGCGTGGGAGTCGCATTAGCAGACATCGGTGTGGTAGATGGTAGCGACGTATCGCAATGTAATATCTAATTCGTCTATGAAATAATTATTTATTAAATTACGAATTTCGTACGAATTTTATTAGTGTATGAATTTCTTAATTATTTTATTTGATATTATTAGATTTGACGTTTGCTCACAACCGTGATACGTGATAATAAAATATAGAATTATAGAAAACCGACACGTAGAATGTGTCTATCTACATTAATAATTGTAAGAAAAATTACTCCTCATAATATCTGTTTCGCTATAGTCAGTGCTAGAAATAAACTGTACTAAAATACAAATCCATTTCGATGGTCCACCTTAAAATAGAGATTGCATAAGAGAAGTATGAAAAATAAAAATTTCGAAATAGTTGTGTACAACAAGTTGTGTGAAACTTGTGTAAAAATTTATTTTGCATATATTCTTCTATCGTCTATTGTCTTTTGCTCTGTGTAAATTAATTTGGAAAATTAATCACCATAAATTCTAAAGATTTCTAAAAATGTAAATCTGTCATTAAGATATAAATAGACTTGTGAGCATCGCAAGAGTAATTTGGAATATAAAATATTCCAAAAGCTGAACGTTGCAGTTTGCAATTGCATGATTTCGCTCTCAGGTTCGACAGACGAAGGCTTCTGGAAGTATGAGTAGCAACGCGTCGTTCTCGAGAAGAAATTGGCACGGTGTTCCTGAATGGATAAAAGATGACGGTCTCTTATCAGTACGAGGTCGCCAGTTCCACCAGCGGTGGATTCACCAGGCTCCTGTTTATGTGGCGCGGTTCCCTTTACAAGCTCATCTACAGGGAACTGCTGCTCTATCTAATTCTCTTCGGAGGCTTATCCTCGCTGTACCGTCATGTTTTCACTGCCGAGCAAAAAAGGTGGCCATTCCGATATTATTAAATTTCCGAATTTTTAAATACATATGTAAATCTAAAATATATACAATATTAAATATATAATATTAAAGAAATTATTGTAATTTCATCTATCAAAAATGCTAGATATAAATATATACAAATAATTAGTACATACACTTCTTTTATTAAATTAATACGTTACGTGCATTAATTAATTTGCTCGTGTTTTCTTTTATTCTCTCATTTTTCTTTTAACTTGTTTTAATTTGATTTTTTTCAATATCTACATGTAAGGCTACCTTGCTATTAATATGTAATGCTGTTACAGAGAATTCGAACATGTTGTAATCTATTGCGACACCTTGATCAAACTAATCCCGCTGAGTTTTGTGCTTGGATTTTATGTATCTTATGTAGCGCAAAGATGGTGGAAGCAATACACGGCGATACCGTGGCCCGACAAGTGAGTTATCCAAGCAATTGTACCGTACATTTTTATATAAAATTTTTTAATTTTTGAAAGTAATATTTTCTTCTTTGTAGATAAATCTTAAAAAATAATACTACTAATTAATTGCCATTGAAATGTATATCTCTTTTCTTTTCATGAGTTTCTTCGTAAATTCCACATTCCTTTTTTTTTTTTTTCCATAGGGTGATGCATCTCGTGGCGCTCTACATCACCGGAAACGACGATTACAGTCGGATGCTGCGCAGAGCCTTGATGCGTTATTTAAATCTCTCGCTGATTCTCGTGCTACGTTCCATCAGCTCGGCGGTGAAAAGACGATTTCCCACTCTTGATCACGTCGTTGATTCCGGTAAATTCTAGTACCGGGATCACATATCGTTGTCGTGGTGGCAATTAAAAATTAACGAGCTTTTTACAGGCTTCATGACCACATTGGAACTCGAATTGTACCAATCGGTGCCGAGTGTCGAGTTTAACACCTATTGGATACCGTGCACATGGTTCATTAATCTTCTCAAGGAGGCACGCAAGACTCACCGGATAGCTGATGCGCAGGGTTTAAAGCTAATAATGGAGGTGCGAGTGTTCTTCCCTTGATTTTATTGTTCAACAATTGTTCATTGTTTAAAAATTGAAGGAAATTTTCTTTTTTAACAATCAACCAAATAAAAAAGAAAACATGTTTTTTTATTTCGTGGTTTTATTTTTTAAACGTTGATAAATATAGTGAAAGAAATTGCTTATTTTAATTATAATTTAAAATTGCTTATTCTATCGTAGTCTTTTTTTTTAAATTTATAACAAAAATCAGAAATAATTATTTACGTCGTTATATTTTTTAAAAACACGATAGTTCATTTTATGTACATATGATCTTTGATTTTCTACTCCTTCCTATCAAGTTTTCATCATAAGTTTTTAAAACAGTAAAGCGTACGTGATATGATATGATTGTAAACTAGTAACGCAGGAAATCAATTGTTTGATTAGAGAAACGATTAGATTTTACGGGCAGCTACTGTGACGGCATCGAATCGATATACTAAGTCGAAATACATCGTAAACCGTGTTGCATATCTATCAACTACGTTTTTATTTGTGAGATTAGGCACGCTTGTTTCAACTGCATTATGCTCTCGCACGAATATTTTGCTGGAAATAATCTTCTTTTTTAGACATTTGATAAAATGAATGAGAAAAGGCCAATCTTAATGTGTTAAAACCGTACGAAAAATTAATGAGTACGAAATATAAACAAATTTAGAAAAAAAGAAATTCATTGTATAATTTACTTTCAAATTTCAAATTAAATTAAAAATTTTATTACTACATTATAGAAAAACATGATTGCTGATAAAGTAAAAGTAATTAATTGAAGTGATTCCTCTCAAGTACCTCATAAGATTAATTTGATTCATAGGAGTTCAACGAGTTTCGGACAAAATGCGGCTTCTTGTGGAGTTATGATTGGGTGTCGATCCCTTTGGTGTACACTCAAGTCGTAACACTAGCCACTTATAGCTTCTTCGCGGTTGCCCTAATCGGTCGACAATACATCGAGGGCCCCGAGAGAGAATTCCAATTGAAGATAGACAAATACGTGCCCATTTTCACGATTTTGGAGTTTCTCTTCTTTATGGGACTGTTGAAAGTAGCTGAACAACTGATCAATCCTTTTGGCGACGACGACGAAGATTTCGAGCTAAATTGGTTGATCGATCGGCATACCAAAGTAAGAGATCAATCTCAATTGTCTAAGGAAAGAAAATATTCAAGTTTGCAAGAAAAAAGATTAGATTTTACCGAAGTAATTAAAAATTTGAACAGATATAGAAAATCATTGAGTCATTAAAATAATTATATAGAACGTTCAAATTGTTCTAAAATATTAAAAATGTTTGCAATGTTATTATCACACTTAAATCTCCTACATAATTATTTTGACGACTCAACAAAATTATTTTTTCAGATTCGTGTTTGGCCAGAGTTTTAAATAGACTGTTTTAGCAAAACTGTTGTATCGATGTACATGTATATATTTATACACATATTAGGTATCATATCTCGGAGTGGACACCTTAATGAACCGTTGTCCGCCACTTGTCAAGGATATTTATTACGATTCTGAAAACGTGAGTCTGCCATATACGGAAGCAGCCGCGGCGTACAAGAAGAAGACCTATCGCGGTAGCGTGGCGAATATGACGTTAGTATTAAACAATTTATCACAATATGCGAAGTATTTAGAGGCAGAGCGGATTAAAGTTCATACCAGTTTAGACGATCTTAATTATAGACTAATTATAGATTCCGATTTTAATTATAGACTAATTATTTCCAAAGATGAGTGACAAATCTTGAAGAAGCTTTTTAATGATCTAAAATTCGCTTTGAATATGAAGACATCAAATATTCTGTGATAAATTACACTAATGATTTTCTTCGACCTTTTTAGGGTGCCCGAGGAGAAACAAATGATGTTCTTGCCCGGAATTTTAGAGGAAGAAGAAGAAGAAGGATGTATTCCGACGCCTCGCACTTCCACTGCCAGTTTAGCGAATCCCAATGACAGTCCGATAAATGAAAGGCGGTAAGATTGTAATTGGGAATGAATATATCTTTTGATTCCTATTAAATAGGAATTATTATTAATTCGATAATAAAAAGTTATAAATTTTTCATGCTTCGTTTGGAGCCGTTATTTCTTCTCATCATATCATAAATAAACAGTATAGTTATTAGTTGTATTTTTAAATTTATGAATTTATGAATTTTTACATTTATGAATATTTTAAATAGAGAAATTACACGAAGTTATATAAAATAAAAAAAGTTAAAAAAGTTATCTACTTTTAATCCATTATTTTTGCGTAAGAAAGCTAGATTTTGCATACGTAAAGCGTTTCAAAGTATCTCTTTTGAGCATCCTGTGCTTTTGATTTCGTTATCAAGACAACCAAATTTCGAAGAACTCTATTAAGTTAGACTCGTTTGTTTCAGCCAGATTAGCGAGTCCCCTTCAACATCTGCAAAGATGGCTCGCAATTGTCCCGAAACAGTTTTACAGCTGGATAATCAAGAGCAATCGCCGGCCGAAACAGTGGCACAACGGCGCATAATAAACGAAGCCGTGCGGAAGTTCTCCTCCTTGGCGAAGAGCTCGGCGTCACGTTCCGGAAAGCCCTTCTTTCCAGTTTTGCCGAAATCGTCCAAGCCGACGCTGCGTCCGTGGCCGAGCGCGACGAGTATTTCTTTCCACCCTGTTCAGACACCATCGGCTTCGACGCCGTATCCCATGTCGGCCGCCGCCGAGGCTGGAGGCCCCTGGAGAAAAGACTCGTTCAAGAATCTGTGCCATCAGTCCTCCGTGGAAAATTCCGAGAGACGATCCAGCGAGTCATCACAGAGCGAGAGAAATCAGGATGGTGTCGTGAACTCGGCGTTCGCCGACGAGAAAATCAGCGACGTATCGGACATTTGCGACTGCAAGGATGCGGAAGAAGATGATAATGGCACGTGGTCCAGTCCTCCATATCGATCTCAGTGTAGGCGAACTTTATCCCATCAATCGTCGATCCCGGAGACGATTGATATGTCCGTGATCAGCGGCGAGCCGAGTGTTGATCCTTCGAGGATCAAGGCTACTCCGAAATATCTAACGACCAGGAGAGATCGATTGATCAGCGATTCCAGGAAGAGGAAGGGTATTCAGTGGCGATCAAGACTGTCCGGTAGACCGTTGAAGTTTCGCAGAAGAACTACTGACAGCATACCCACGGTAAGCACAATTTTGAGTCAGACCTGGAGCTCGCCGAATTTAAGAGACTTGGACGAGCAGGCGAAGATCGCGCAAGGCGCCAGAGCCGAGCCTTCTTATAAGCAGGAGGAAGATTCAATAACCAAGTTATAAATAATATAGTATCTCGAGAGCGGGATATTTCTATATCTAGAGACGTAAAACAAGCTGTGACAATCTTAAAGAAATTTTGATAGAGAGATTCTTTTTTGCAGAAAAACTGTTTTTCTGCTGAACTATTTTCGATTACTATATTTGTTAAAAGTGTTATCTAAAGGAATAATGATATAAGAGATAGCGACACCTTCTATTTAACATATCACCAGCGATATATTAAAATCTTCTTTGGTGATTTAACTTAATTACAAAATTGTGAGCAAAAGTACTAGCACGCGTCTGGGAGCGTAGCGTCCTTTACAAATGTTTATGTAAATATTGTAAATATTATAGAATATAAAGTGTATCTTCATAGAAATAAAACAATTATTTGAATTAATATTTATATTATACTTAATTAATATTTATATTATACTAGTATTTTATTAACATTATTGGGCTAGAATGATATCATTTTCTTAAAAGAAAAGGATATGAAATCAATATTTTCATCTATTTAATTAAGTATTGCTAATTATCTCTTTACACATGAAATATTTAAATTAAGATATAAAACTTATTTAAAAATTTAAAATTTAATTAAATGTAAAACTACAAAACTTAAGTATACAACAATTAACAATGTCTATGAATAAACATTAACAATTATTGTTTATTTAAAAAATTTAGAATCTCCTTAAATATAAATGTATGAGATCTTTTTAAATTAAATTATAAAATCTCAAAAATTGAAGATTAAATCTATAAAATGTATAATTATAAGATAATTATAATTATAAAATAAAATTTTTAATTTAAAAATTTTTGATTAAAGATTTAAAATTCTAAAAATTTATATAGGTTTTCATGAATAAAAAATTTCAATGCTGTTTTTTTCAAATAAAAATTATCTTGTCAATATATTACCATATCTTGGAAAGAACTGGCGATGACAATGACGAGAAACAACGCAACACAGATGGCGCCACTTAAATGTCAATAATTTCTGGTAATCTCATATTGTTTGCCTCTTGCAGCCAATAAAATTGGTCTCAATATTTTTCGAATTTACATCATCGAGTATCAACGTCTTTTAATGTCTTTTTAAATTCACAACAATATGGAGATATGGATAAAATGCTCACGATGACATAAAGTTTGGCGAAAGTCACGAGTGCTTCACCACCGCACATTCACAACGATCATCTACTACGAAGCCAGTTGTCGTTAATATAATAAAATTATTGTAATCACTGGATTCTCACCGACTCTGACGTAACTAAAAATAAGTATTGTGTAAAAATGAATATTGTGTGTGTGATTTGTAGCGATTTATTAGTACCATCCGACGATGTCTTCCATACACCATGTGGACATATTTTCCACTACGCGTGTTTGGTGCAGTGGCTCGAAAGGTACTTAGGAAGTATAACACTTCTATAAGATCTGTCTTTTCTTGTATTTCTTCCCTTTATTTTCTACCTTTTTATTTGAGGGATGTTTTACATAATTGAAAGTTTTATACTATTTGCATAAAATTTGTAATTTTTTATCTGGGGAATTGTTTCAGATCGAAATCATGTCCGCAGTGTCGGGACAAAACAACCGAGCACAAGATACGCAGGATATATTTCAATTTTTTCAAACAGTGACAGCATTGTAGAAGATGCTACATCTCTGCAGGAGAAAATTGATAATTTGACTTTTCAAGTGAAGGTGAGAGATGAGAATCTTAAAAAACTAACAAAAGCCAATGAAAAGTTAGAGAAGCAGACAACTGGTTTGAGACATGAAGTTCGAAAGGTTGAAAGTGAAATGAGCAGCAAAAATAATGCGATTCATGCACTGAAAGAGCAGATTAAGTTTTGCAAGCAGCAATGTTCAGACATTGATAATTACAAGAAAGAGAATGCACATTTGAAGAAAAATCTTGAACATTTAAAGAAGTATGTTTCTATTATTAAAATATTTTATTGTAAAAGAATATTATAAAAGAATATTATAAAAAAATATTTTATTGTATATAAGAAATGATCAAGTTTATATTATTTAATTTTGTAATCAAATGTTGTTCTTACAGTGTACAGACTCTTGTAGATTCTTCTGTAAAAGAAGTGGATGATGTAATAACAATGATGCATGACACTTCCAAACTTATAACATATATAGCAGTTTTGAAAAAGTATTCTATATTTATACATAATATATATTTGTTATACATGAAGCTTTAATATGATAATTTAATATAATTTTATTATTGAATATTTTTAGAGAATTAAATGAAGTTTGTGACAAAAGCAAACAAATTAGAGATAACTATAAGAGTTTACAGCAGGAATTCAAACAGATCTCGACACAAAATAAATTTTTATCAGAGGAACATACTAAACGAAAGTGTGTGATATTTGCTTTAGTAAATTATTTAGTGGATTTTTTATATTATATTATCATTATATATTTTTAGAGAATTGGAAGAACAATTAATAATCTGTGAGAGTGAAAAGATATCTTTACAAAATCAACTTTTCAATATGCAGGCAGATGCACATGAATGTATCTGCAATAAAACGAAAAAGAAAAAGCAAGAAAGTTTGGAAACGTATGTGGAGTGTGATGTAGACAAATCTAATGAAGCAATAAATAAGAGTGTAGTAAAACTTGACGATAGCTCAAAATTCAATAAGAGTGATAGTTGTATTATTATAGATTCAGTAAGTAAGCTATAACCCATTGTATGTATATGTGTACATGTGTGTGTTTTAACTGCAACAAAATATTTGTTTATATTAATATTAGAAATTAATCAGAAATTAATATTTATTGTAACACACAGGATGACACTAAAAATATTCCACAGAATATAAAATCGCAAGGTTTTTTTTCAATGAAGAATTATGGTATCAAGAGACAACAATCTAGTTTAAAAGTACCTTCAATACTTACGAAAAAATCGAGATTTAATGAACCTAGTAAAGTAAGTTGCTTTATATTTATGTTTAATTGTTACATTTTTACAATTTTCTATAATTTTCTTATATTTCTTTATTTCAGAAAATTGCTAGTAGAAGTGACATGTGTTTTGATGGTTTTGGAGGACATGCTAAGTATGATAAATTTCCTAATCCAATTTCTAATTCACATGTAAAAAAAATACTGAGAGATTGCAAAAGCAAAGAAATTTAATACCGGTGATAATTAGAAAATTAATGATTTAGTGATGTAAATGATATAGTACTATGTCTACATGTGTATATACAATAGGAATTATATTGAAACATGTAAAACACAAAAAACTCAAGGAATTTTAATCATAAACTAAAAATGTGTATTTATCTTTTAAAAGAAAAATTCCAATCAGATAATCGTATTTTGAATTAAATACTTTACCGAAAATTTAAGTGCTTGTATTTTTGTATAAAATTTAACTTGTGACAAATATTCTCTTTGTATACTGATTATTAAAATAATTTATTTTTAATTCTATGTGTATATTATTTCATTCATAAATATATGAATATTCGATCGTTTAATTTATTTGACTTTTTCAATTAATTTCTTCGTATAGGCTATATTTCGTACAAGCTATACTTTTGTATAGGCTTTTAGGGCCTGTTTTATCTCACTCCCATGTGCCTGTATATATGTACAATTGCGATGCAATTATTCGCGGGGTCATAGTAGCACATAACATTAAGTTTGTTCTTTTTGGCTGAACTAGTGCAGTCAGTTCAGCTGAAAAGAACAAACCTATTACCGATTGAATTGATAATGATGTGCGCGCGAATTTTATTAGAATATCAGCAATTATAAAAATAATAGGTAACCTTTTTTTAGGGTCTTATTCTTTTTCATTTCAGTAAAATAATAATTTAAATATTTAAAATTTAAATATTTTTATTATTATTCATGCCTTGTTTAAAAATATACACGTAAAACCGTAAAGTACAACATGGTAACATCAACAAATTACATGATCAAAAGTGATGAAGAATAATGAAATTTGAATGTCACTTTGATCACGTGATCCCTTTTAACACTGAAAATGAACGTCGAGCATTGGTATGAAAAGACACCTTTATATAAAATGATCTTTTCATTGCAGTGATAGAAACGAAGGATTATGATTAGTTCGTTTTTTTATGTCATACATTATGAATTATGCAGAAAGGTGTACTCCGCTTTTACAATGAACTTGCAACCAACAACTGTCATATGGTAATTAATATAATTGTTATCTAATTATTTTTTTAGATTATATCTATTCGTAAATACATATTGCGATGGCTTATAAGAATTTTTGTATAAATATCGTGAAAGAAAGTCGAAGACTGAACAGATGTCTAAAAGCTGTTGTGGTTAAACGCGATTATTCAAAAACAGCAAACACCTACCCGGAAAATGAAGAGAGATTTACGCATTTCGGTTTCCAAGCGATTAAGGAAAGTGAAAAAGTGAAAGAAGGTAAAAATGTTATTATTTCAAATAATTCTTTTTGTCTCTTTATTTTTTATTATTTTGATTTACATGGAAAATTGATGACTGCTAAGAATGAATTAAATAAAGCAATTTATATATAATTTATATATCTTGAATGTGATTTTTATATAGAAAATTAGAAGATATACAATATATAATTATATAATTCGAGAATATCTTTTGCAGTGCACACTATATTTGAAAATGTTGCCAATTCTTATGACTTGATGAATGATGCAATGAGTATTGGTATTCATCGCATTTGGAAAGATATTTTTATACAAGAATTAGGACCTACTCATGGTACCCAACTTTTGGATTGTGCTGGTGGTACAGGAGACATTACATTTCGGTATATAAATTTTCTAAGGAATACAGCAAATCCACAGAATATATGTAGTCACGTAACTGTATGTGATATAAATGAACATATGCTAGAGGTTGGAAAAAAACGGGCAAGTAGGCTATGTTTATCACAGGACAGTAATTGCAGTATTACATGGAAACAAGAAGATGCAGAAAAACTGTCCTTTCAAGATGATTCTTTCACTGCTTATACCATAGCATTTGGAATAAGAAATGTAACACATATTGATAAGGTGATTATAATATATTATGTATATCACATTTGGTTAAAAATACATTATTATACATTTTAATAAAATTATAATTAAATGTTTAAATTTATTATACTATAATGAATACTTAGTTAAAATTTGAAGATAATCAAGTATCTAAATACTGAGAATAATGTGAAGGTATATTTATACTAACTTTTATAGGTGTTGTCTGAGGCATATCGAGTATTACAGCCAGGAGGAAGATTTTTATGCTTAGAATTTAGTCATGTAAACAATAAATCTTTACAATGGTATGTACACTTTAAAATAATAGAAAAATTATAAAAAGAATAATTATAAAATTATAAAAGAATTATAGTTAGAGATTTGAAGCTATATATATATATTCTCTTAATCTCCAAACTACTATAGCAAGATTAAATATCTATTTCAGGTTGTATGATCAATATTCTTTTCAAATAATACCTGTAATGGGACAACTGATCGCAGGACAGTGGAAAGCTTATCAATATCTTGTGGAAAGTATAAGAAGATTCCCAAATCAAGAAAACTTCAAGGTAAAAGATATTTTTATTATTTCTTATATTGCAGATTCTTAAATTGAAGATTGTAATAATAAAAATTTTTTCTTTTCCTCTTAGAGCATTATTTTTTATTTAATTATTTTATTAAATTGTTCTTATTTTAAAGGTTTCCATTCTTCTCTGTAATGCTTAAAAATCTGTTAATGTTTCTGTTTTTAATTATATTTACTTTTCATATATTGTTTTTTATATTTTCAGGAAATGATTGAGTCTGCAGGATTTAGAAATGTGACATATAAAAATCTTACATTTGGTATAGTCGCTATTCATTCTGGATTTAAATTATAAGGTTATTTGGAATAAAGAAATGATAATTTTGGAGCGGTATGGAAATTTAAGATTATAATGTGATATTATCACAAATTATGCCAATTGCGTTATAGCAGTTATAGCAGTTATAGCAATAAATAAAATACAAATAAAATATATAAAGAAATATATATATTCTCTTTTAATTGTTTATCGCTTTTCAATAATTAATATTTATTATTCGATCACATTGTAAAGAATAAATGTCATGTCATGTAAAAAAGTTTTGTGATTATTATCATAATTTTATCATTGATTTATTTCTTTACTTTTCAGCAGTTATTTCTCACCTGGAATTTTCTTGTGGTATTTACACGATATTGCTATGAAATACTAGTTAGGAACCTATTTCTCTATGTTATTGTACATTTCGGCCGCTTGTCCGAGTGTGAAATTTGCTTGCTTACTGCGTAATCGCTTTACGCCTGCAACCTACTATATTGCATAAGAGTCGTGCGACTCTTGGGTGCCTCGTACATGAGGTGATGCGACCGACGGTACCTATCGCGATTTACGCTACTACGCATTTCTACGCGGGTCGCTTCCGCGGCGCTCTTTCGTAATTTCGTGAACTCGAAGATGTAGAGAGATAGGCGAAATTTCTGAGAGACTTTAAGCGCGTACCATCGAAAACAATTCTCATTCTTTTGGGATTATTCTTTCTTAATATTGCTTATTTGAAAAATTAAAAACTTTTCGGATCTTGTCATTTTCTTCATTATTTTCTCACGTCTGAATCAAACGAATAAACGGGAATGTCATTTGAAACGTAAATGTTTCAAATTACGTTAATTAATATTTAATTATAAGTTATGATGCTGTGAGAGGGAATGACAACCATCTTCTCCGCGCTCACAAACTGAACCGTAATACACTCGTACATTGGAATTTTGATTGGATGAAGGATGATGAGAGATACAGGCGCTTTCTTCAAGAAGAGATATATGATCTTATATTTGCATACCGTTGAGAATACACAAATTTTCAGACACCAAACTGTCATGTTAGAATGATAAAAGAACATCTCGAAAGCAGAATAGAATAGTAATGAGAGAAAAATGAAAAGCATCTCTTTTTACAATCTTGATTTTAATAATAATAATAATAATAATAATTTTATTGTTAATAATAATTATATTTTTATTTTATTCACGGCATTTTTATTTTATGATACGTCTACCTTGCGTTTTGATTATCGCAATAACAATTTTGCTGATGCTTTCTACGCACAATTTTTCTCATTCGCTCTTTTTAATTATCCAACTTATCATAAATCAGTTTCGTATAAAATAAAATAATATATAAATTATTATTAAATTATTATATAAATTATTAATAAATTATTATAAATTATTATATAAATTATTAATAAATTATTATATAAATTATATAAAAGAAGGGGGGGAAGGGTAAAAAATGGAAGATTGTAAGTCGAATTGTGAAGTAAGTGAAGTTTTGTCGCATAGGTCAACAGGCAGGAGACAACCCGAGTGAGAGAAGGTGTACCGTACTGACAACAACGACGATGATGGAGACGACGGCGGTGACGGATCGAAGGCCGTCGAGGCAAGGGGGGAAATTCATTCTACGTGGCGTAATATCTACATGCGTCATGCGGTGTGCTTTCTCTAGGAGAGGTGAAAATTCTTAACTTTCTTCGACCATAGAAACATTCCTACCACCGCCGATGATGCTTGGCCGCGCTCCTACAGCTTTTCAGTACTCCGCCAGTTTGTCTATTATTGACGCATCTTCTTCACGCTTCCCGGTGTTACTGGCGCCAACGATTTCGCTTCGATCGGCGCTCACAATACGTTATGTCACACACGGGAGAGAGATTCTCCTTTTTTTTTTCTCGCTTTTCTACGATTTTCTAACTTCGTTTGTCGTGGGAGTTTACGGCTTGGACGCGGTTTTCTAATTTCGCGCGGCACGAGCTCGCGCTTTTCGAAAGATTCATCTCCGTTTCTTCGGCGCGCATTTGTATACGACAGTGCCTCTTTATAAATTATTCACGTACACAATTCTGAATACGAAAACGTTACGCGCGACGAGATATTGTTAATATTATGTAATGTTACATTCCTCAGAAAGAAGAGAATTATTCTTCATGCCGGAAGCCTAAACTTTTGACGCAGAGATATAACTTACCGGTTGATAAGTCGGGAGAGATATTTCAAACCGGAAGAAATCGCGCGGTGTCGACTACACTAGGACGAAGATGCAGAATCGCGATGCGGCTTCTTGCGCATGTATCGATTTTCCTGACCCCGGGTGACCGCGTACCCCTTCCGCCTTGGATACTTCCTGGAAAGTATATAACGCCCCGCCGTCGCTACGATAGTTTATATCCATCTGTTAGCAAGGATCGCGATGTACAGAGAGTGTTATTATACAACACAACGTTTCTCACGATACCTCGGCATACGACGATCCATTCGATTGATAAACATTACTCTCGGATCTAGGATTTATGAGTGAACAAATCGCACCGCTCGCGTTACGTTACGTAAAAGCGTTATAAACGATTATTTTTTTATATTATCGTCTTAAGATCAAAATGTTTTACTCGATTTAAAAAATTATTATTAACAGTAATTTTTTTAATTCTAATTAATCTTAATAATTTTCGTTATTAGCTTCTGCGTCGATATATATATATGTGTGTGTGTATGTATGTATATATATTTTGAAAGAAAGAAAATAAGGAAAGAAAATAAAATACTTAAACTCCATAATGCATAATGGATTTTATTCATGTATGTGAAATAATGTGGTACTTATCTTTATATGTTTACATGTTTTATAAGACATACTAATATTATACAATATTTTGTAACATAAGAACATCGAGGCGAAAGAGTTAACTACTACCTCGGGAAGATCGTGGGCGATGATGGATATCGAGCGAGAACTCGGCGTCGCGCACCAATTACTTCGCCCATTAAAGGACGAATCGCGGCCATTCCAGATTACATCAGCAGATGCGAGAATTACGCGATGATTGTGCCGATTAATCGAGAGTAACACGGCGAACCCACGAGTCGCGATAACGAGTTCCCAGGAGGTAGCACCGAAGTGTTTTCGTTCCTCCGAGTTTATAGAAGTTTCAGAGAAGGGAGTCCGTCGCAATATCAACCTCGACAGAAACTTGTCGTCTCGTCAATTTAACATCACCCAAACGGTTATCTGTCAATCTATAAATAATATCTTAGATCTCCCGTACTTAAGGGAACAAGTTTGATGATGTAATACCATGGCTAATCTCCACGTAAATTTATACCATAACTCTCTCTTTTCCTTCGTA